CCCTTCGAGTCTTAAGATGGAATGTAATTGATGGCATTCTGTGACAAGATAAATAATTGGTCTTATTGATAGGAAGGGAAAGTTCACTTTCTGAAAAAGGAAATTTGGTTGAAATTGTGAGGTGGATTCATGAGAATGGAAGATGCAAATTAACAATATGGTGAAAAATGGATTAATGAAATTCCTTACAGTTTTCATGGTCGGTGTTGATCAGGAAGGGTAGATTTTGGACCAACTTTTATCTGGTCTGGACCAAATCTCAAGGCCATACTGTGGAGGCAGGTTAAAGAAGACCAAGACACACATCCACTTCACAGGTAGACTTTGCCCCTCCTTTCTAGATATGAAGTTTACCCAACTCTTTTTTTCTCTCTTTCTCCATATTCCCTTTTATGACGTTTCTTTCACTCTTTGGCAACCCTTTTTCTTTTTTATAATGTTGTCGTTTCGTTGGTGAATGCATCTGTGTTCTGGAATATAGCCTTTTCTTTCTCTACTCTCTCATTCTCTTTCTCTCCCCTCCTTTATTTCTTGTTTTTCCATGTCAAACCGGAAGCTTGTCTTTCTTTCTTATAAACCAGCCCATTAAGGCCACAAGCTGAAAGTGGAAGTGTTAAGCTTTTCCCTTGAGAATTTGAGGACAGCCCAGAACCAAAACTGTCCCAAAGCCTGGATATTTTGATATTTGACTGTTTTTCAATGTTATATTGATGGAATTCACGTTTCTAAATCTGTAAGAATTTGAATTTGGATAAATATCAAAGGAAAAGTCTTGATAGTAGTGAGGGTACACACACACACACAGGTATGTATCAATGTATGTTTACATATTTTCGCCAATTTTAGAAATGATTTCGAGCGTGACATAGATGGATAACTAATTGACCAGTACTTAGAAAGAGAAAAGGGAATAACATATTTCAGTAGCAGAAATAATTGGGTATATAGAAATTCATACCTTATGGGCATGCACTACTTGTTTTGAATTAGAAATAACTTCTCAAAAAAGTACTTTTAAGTGAAATACTTATCTAAATACTGTGGAGAGTGTTTCTTATAAAATCATTCTTAATACTTTAATTTCTAACCAAACCCTATAAAGATGTCTGAAAGTGTTTTTAATGGCTTAAAAGCACCTTTCACCCCTTCAAAAGTCATCCAAAAACCAAGACCGTTTTACATGTCCCTTAATTTTAATATTGTGTGTTCAAAAAGTCATCTGCTTAAATTTTTAATGTTTACAACAATGTATATTTGAAATGAATCTCTCCAAGACAAGATTGAACTAGAAGATTGGATGGAGCCCTCTTCTTTGTGAGAAAGATAAGGCGCGCCCTTTTACATACAGACTATTCAACAATTAGAAAGCACATGAAGTTTTCATTTGATATTATTATTTGTTGTTGATCTGAATTTATGTTCGATTACAGTATCTTTGTTCTGTTATATATTCATATTAAGTACTGTTATATATCTATATCTCATGATCAGATTGTATTATGTGAGAGGTTCAAGACTAAAGATAGAGAATCTGCAGGCTTCGTGTTGTTGTTGTTGTTTT